CCCCAGATGCTCATATAGTACATTGTCTCCTTGAGTGTTCACATCAACCCTTTGAAGATGTTGTTTTTCATATGTGAAAACTAAGGCTCAGAGAAAGGAATAAACTCCAGAAGGTCACACAACTAATTAATGGCACAGCAAGGATTTGAACTCAGCTTTTCCAGCTCCAAGTCTAGTTCTTATCCCACTATCCTATATAATAAAGACGTAATATGCAAGTTGACCATCACACCCTTGCACAAGATGACCGCCTGATGTGGTCAAAGATGGCCACCACAAGATGGCCAGCAGGGGAGGGCAGTTGGGGGGACCAGGCCTGCAGGGGAGGGCAGTTGGGGGCAATCGGGACAGCAGGGGAGCAGTTAGGCATCAATCAGGCTGGCAGGGGAGAAGTTAGGGGGCTATCAGGCTGGCAGGCAGAAGCAGTTAGGGGCAATCAGGCAGGCAGGCAGGTGAATGGTTGGGAGCCAGCAGTCCCAGATTGTGAGAGGGATGTCCGACTGCTAGTTTAGGCCCAATCCCTAAACCAGTATTTGGACATCCCCGGAGGGGTCCCAGATCAGAGAGGCTGCAGGCTGGGCTGAGGGACAATCTATAAAAACACTGATTCTTGTTGCTTATTTTATTTTTAGGTTAGTCTCTTTAAATACCTTTGTCTAAATCCGAGTTTAATTTGATCTTCATCTAAAATATGTCATCAGTTGTTTGAGCATATGACACATAAGAATTTTTAATCACTTATTCTATACTAAATGGAAACAAATGAGCTTAGGTTAGGTTGATTTTTAATTTTTTAACCTGAGTTTTCTAGCAAAGCCCATTTATATAACACTCTGCTTACCTGGAGAGGTGGAATCCTAGAAATGATTTCAGCTGCTTTTCTGCCCAAAGATGAAAACATTGAGTACTTTCAGGACAGATCTTCACACTTGAGTGAGCCCCTCTTGTTAAGAAAACATGGGAAAGGGGTGTGAAAATTCATCACCCTAGGAAAAGACCATAGTACAGCCCTACTGTGGCTTGAACAAGATGGCACCTTTTGGCATCCATAATATAGAAAGTTCTGGAAGTGGAGTTGACCAATTTTAATAAGGAAATCAAGGCTTTCTGTTTCTTTAAGATTCAAGGAAAGGAGTAGCTCTCATATTGGACTATAGTTGCTCTGTTGAAGGTCCACTTACATGAGAGGTCCCCAGAGGCCCCAAAGTCAAACCTACTAGGAAGTACAGGGACACGGGGACTGGCTGTGACTTGACCTCAATATAAACACCTAAAGTTTGGGTTGCAGAACTGGTTCCAGCATAGTTCGTACCTGTGTCTGAAAGGCCCTCTGGATTTAGCCACTCTGGAACAGTGTTGGGGTTTGAAGGAAAATATAGCTATGCAACTAAAATTGACATTAAATCTGTTATTCTGATTTCCTGGGAAAGGCATGCAGGCCCCACTGCATCCCCACGGGTGTGGAGCTGATACATGGAATTGTTCTGTCATCCTCTGGACAGTGCAATCCCCCAGAGTTCCTGGACAATTCTAAATTGAGTGGACCTCAAAAGTGAAATACTAAACTTCCTGAACATAAATGCAAATGGGATTTCATGCAATTGCTTTAAAAACTAAAACTGATTTGTTGTTGTAACCTCAGCTTGGAAAATAGGCTTTTTCATGTGCACACTATATTCTTGATGCATTTTCACAGCTACCTCTTTAGGAGTCTCTTTGCCCCTCTTCTTTTCCTCCCCTTTCAAACTCTTTTCTACCTGGTTAATCTTTCTAAGACATCAACTTTGCCCCAAAAGTCTGCAATGGCTTCTTATTGCCCACAAAACAGTATCCACACTCTCATCCTGTCTTGTGACACAGTCCACATTCAGATCCCTAAGCCCTGAAAGGATGTGGAAAGAAATACATATTTATTATCTACTAGGGGTCCAGTGCACGAATTCATGTACCTTAAAAGGAACTGTGGGCTGTGAGGCTGTGGTGGGTACAGGGACAGGTCTTGGTCCATCCTCCACACCCCCACCCGGACCCTCCTGCTGTGGTCCCTGGTTCCCCTGTTGGCCGGCAGTCCTGCTCCCTCCACCGCCACTCCCACGCGCTGATAGAGAGCATCTGCTGACAGCACGGAGCCATTGGGGCCGGCACCAGCTGCGGGTGCGAGCAGCGGCTGCTGCCCCAATCACCCCTCAGGAGCAGGGGGAGGTGGAGAAGCCCTCAAGGGAGATCAGGGCCAGCAGCTGCCACTTGCACCCACTGATGGTGCCAAGCGATCGGGACTGGCACCAGGTGCCAGCAGCAGGTGTGAGTGCTGAGCGGGACTGTGGCATGTGGGAACAAAGAATTTTCAGTAACCACCAGAGCCTTGCCCTGATGACAGCAACCGGCGCCCCGCCTTGGTCTGGCACCCCCGTTCACCTGCTCCACCATCCCGCCATGGCCAATGCCCGGGCATCTGCACTCTGCTGCCTGGTGCTGATGCCTGCCATATTCTGTGTGTGCCCCCTGGTGGTCAGCGCACGTCATAGCAACCAGTTTTTCCACTCTTGGGTGTATTTGCATATTAGGGTTTTATAGAGAGAGAGATTTTGTGAGACATTTTATATGTGCTATTCTCATTTAATTTCCTCTTCAACTTTATTTTCCACTACCATCTTAATTGAGGGGTAGCGGATTACATAAAGTACACAATTCAGTAAGTTTTGATATATGCTATCCACCCAAGAAACTGTTATTGAAATAAAGTTGCAGAACAATTATCAGTCCCCCCATGAATCTCCCTCATTCCCTTGTCAGACTATGCTCCCCACAGGGTACCACTATTCTGACCATTATTACCAGAGATTAGTTTTGCCTATTCTGAACTTCACATAAATGCACTTGTATGGTGTGTACTCTTTTGTGTCCATCTCCCTTCACTCAGCATTTTTCTTCCATTCAACATAGTGAGATATCACTATACAGTTGTTTGTTTTAAATACACATTTAGTTCCATCATGTGAATATAACACAAATTAATTATTTAATGTTTTATTGATAGACAAATGTTTTTTTCTCTGTGGGGGCTTTTATGAATAAAACTACAATGAATATTCTTGTATATGTATTTTTGTAAGCATACTCACTTATTTGTGTTGGGTATATTTCTAGAAGTAAAATTTCTGGGTTAGAGGGTGCATGAGTATTCAGGTTCATAGAAACTACCAGTTTTCCAAACTAGTTGAAATAATTTATACTCTAACCAGCAAGTAATGTATAAGAATTTCATTTGTTCCACATCTTTGTCAACCCTTGGTATTAAGTTTTAATTTTCACCATTCTGCTAAATGCATAGTAGTATCTCATTATGATTTTAATTTGGATTTCCCAGCTGAACAATCACATTGGCCACCTTTTCATATGTGTATTAGCCATTTGAATATAATTTTTATAAAGTGCCTGTTCAAGTCTTTTGACCATTCTTTTATTAGGCAATTGTCTTTTTCTTATTGTTCTGTAGAATCTCTTTTTATATTCCGAATAAGAGCTCTTGGTCAGATATTTTACATATATTTAAATATTTATGCATATATAAATGTAGATATAATGTTATGCAAATATCTTCTCTCAGTCTGTGGATTGTCTTTTTATTCTTTTTTTTTATTTTTTTGTTTTAAATATATTTTATTGATTTTTTACAGAGAGGAAGGGAGAGAGATAGAGAGTTAGAAACATCGATGAGAGAGAAACATCGATCAGCTGCCTCCTGCACATCTCCCACTGGGGATGTGCCCGCAACCCACGTACATGCCCTTGACCGGAATCGAACCCGGGACCCTTCAGTCCGCAGACCGACGCTCTATCCACTGAGCCAAACCGGTTTCGGCCTTTTTATTCTTTTAATGGCATCTTTTTATTGACAAGTAGTTCAGTTAATCAACCTTTTATTTTATGATTAGTGCTTTTTGTGTCTTAAGAAACCTTTCCCTTCCCAAGATTATGACAATATGGCAATATTTGCTCTTGTTCTCTTCTAGAAGTTTCATTGTTTTATATTTTATTTCCAGGCTTATAATTCATTTTAAATAATTTCTTATGTTTGATGAGATCTCAGTACCCACTTTGAATTCTTCTACTATAGGTAGACTGAGAGACTCATTGCTGTGTCCTAACTTCTCCTTCACTCCTGCCTAGAACTCAGTGATCTCCTGTATCTGAGTCATCAAATCTGGTTCCATCTGTGGTCTAGACCAGTGGTCGGCAAACTGTGGCTCGAGAGCCACATTCAGCTCTTTGGCCCCTTGATTGTGGCTCTTCCACAAAATACCACGTGCAGACACGTGGTGCGATTGAAACTTCGTGGCCCATTCACAGAAGTCGGTATTTTGTGGAAGAGCCACACTCAAGGAGCCAAAGAGCCGCGTGTGGCTCGAGAGCCGCAGTTTGCCGACCACTGGTAGACTCCTCAGCCTAAAGTGCACTTAACATTTACTGCTTTACCCTGTAAGCTATTTTTACATATGCGTTGCAACTAGATTGCAGAACAGTTGACGGTAGGAATTGCCCATAAAGGTCAACCAATACATAACATTCCACAAATACGAGATGGTAGCTGGTAAACATGTGCACCTTTTTCTGTAGACCATCATGTGGACCTGCTGAGGATTATCTGCTGGACAGCCATTCCTGTGAGTGACGCCGCTGTCATGCTCCGGATGTGTCAAGTTGCGTGGGATGATTTTTAATTTCATTAAGGTGGCACTGTCAGGGCTTCCCAAGAGTATTTTCTTTCTTTATTATATCCATAGTGTTTAGATATTCACTACCTTCTTTCCACATTACACACTTTTGCTTAATTGTTAACATTCCTCAGTTTTTCTAATGTGTTGACCAGTGTGTTTTATTTTATTTTATCATTAGATAGAAAGTACAGGTAATTTTTATGTAGTTTCTATAAAAAAATTGAATGAAAGGGGAGAGAAAGTATCAAACATATTCAGAGCCTCCTGCACACTCGCTTTCCCACGTTTCACAGAGAGGAAAATCAGTGGATCTAAACATCTGTCTTCCTTATCAACTGTTTTATGTCTGTCATCTAGTTCTGTGGATTTCCAAATATGTCAGTGTACCTGTTCAAATTCTTGTTCTGCTTTGTGACTCTAACAGAAGTGTCAGTATTTTTGGAAGTGTTTTTTTCATGCCCCTTTTCTTAAAGGAGTTTAAAAACAAAGCATTATCTCATTTATTCTGATTTATATTAGTTGCCTTGCTTGCTTTTGCTTTCCATATGAGGTGCAAATGCCTTTCTTCAACTTAGCTCCTTTATTCAGCTTATTCGTTCTGGTTTTATCATAATTATCATTTCCTCTTAAAAAAAGAATAGGTATTATGAGAAATTTCTCTAGGGTTCCCTCCCAATTTCCTCACTGCCATTACAGAGCCCCTGTCCCATCAGTCTTGATCAGGCACGTTGGATACTCTTACTCTTTGCATTCTTCTTTTCGCAGAGCAATTGTAATCTGCCTTAATTATGGTGGATACTCCAGCAGCCTGCCCTTCTCCTGGGTCTTAGTATTCCCTCCTTCAATACCATACTCACTAGATTCTTATTTTAATTCCCCAAAATTAGCTCTCTTGAATTCTAATGCCCTGATAGGACTGCCTGCATTCTGGTTATGAGCACGATCCCACCAGGTTTCAGAAATGCCGACGAAGGCAAAGCTTTCTGCATTTCTGCATACCTCGGATTGCTCTCGCTCATTTCTCAGAATCCTTCCAGGCCTCAGGCTCTGCCTTTCTCTCTGCTTAAATTGCAGTGGCAGATCCTTCCACACGTAAGAGAAAACGTTGTTTTAGATGCCTGATATATGACATGACTTTTGACCATCTTATTTTTTTTAAAAGTCTCTTCAGTAAAAGATATTCTTTTAAATAGCTACTTATTTTTTAAATATAATATTTTTTATTCCCCACACTCTACCTGTTACTCAATTATGCAGCCTAACTCAGATACCCTCTGTCCAATACTGTCACCTTCCACGCTTCCTCTCTGTTGTCCACTGGAATTTCATATGGTGGGGAGTATGTGGAGGCCAATGGTGATACATAAACATACTCCAGCTCACAGAACCATCTTCTATCAGCACTTATAAACACACACACACACACACACACACACACACACACCAGTGAATAGCTCATCTTTCCTAAAAATTTGCCTTTGATCATCTCAATACGACACATAAATATTTATACTCATTTTTATGAGGGTAGAGATTTCAGAGACTCCATAATTATCTCTGAGAAGAAAACCTTGGGATATCTGTGCATGGATGAGGGAGACACACCCAGTTAATGACACACTCATGGTAAATTCATAATTGATTTCCAGTCCGGACTCCTATCCTACAACCATGCTGCCTTCCAGCACTTATTACAGTATCAATTGAAATGCATCCAATTACAGTTAAGTGAAACATAACTCAAACCAATTTAAATTAAAAAAAGAATTAATACTGCAGAAATATGGCAAATATTAAGTAAGGTTTAATCTAGTCATTCAATACTCCCACCAATTACCTATTTCCAGTTTTTCTCTCTTCGGCCTTTTGTAATGTCACTTCTTCCTAAAGAGGACTCCTATTGTGGTGCTAAGATGAGGTCCCCACTCTCCTGGCCTACCTGCTTCCTCTTCCTTGTTGGGGAAGAAAAAGAGCATTACTTCCGCATTTCTAGCAAGTCCCGGTTATCCTCTGATTGGACCAGCTTTAGTCACATAGCCCCTTCAACGTCACTGAGACTGGACCAGGGAGTGCATTCACAGGCTTGGCCTGGTTTACATGCTCTAACCCTAATGTCAGGAGAAGAGCCTGTTTCCTAAGAAACACATGTTTTACAAAATAGAAATTATAGCTACTGGGAGGGAAACGAGGAGCATATATTCTGGAGTCAACACAAACACTTGAAATCCATAAAAATCTTACCCCAGAATATGTTGTTTACCCAATCTATACTGCAGGCCCTATTGTAATAATGGCAATAGGAAAAACCCTTCCTAATGACTGCTCTCTCCTTAGAAAGAGCAAACACACACTCAAATAGAGCAAAAGCTGTCTCCTGGCTTCTAACAGGAAGTAGCTTGGGTACTTGGTCAACTGACTTAAAGTCTTTCCATTTTTATTTCTCCAAGATTAAAAACAATATTGTTTTAGAGACAAATCCAGGTAATACTAAAAGTTTTCCAATTGTGATCCTATTTTGTCATTTTTTTTTAAACTTCTACTTCACAAAGACAGAAACAATTTCTAAATGTTTTGGTCAGATTAAAACAGTGATTGTGCAAGATGATGGAAGCAAATGCTTTTCTGCTACAATGGGCAAACATTCTTCTTTAGGATAATAAATTTATTTCAATGCATAACATTCAAGGGGTTAAGAAGCAGGACCCAACCTGTTTGTCTTTGCCTTGGATTATTAGTCGTTTAAAATCCCTTTACCGGAGATGATGGTTCCTCAGGGAAATCTGCCAAACAAGAATGAGAAAGCTCAGGTGAGAGCCAGGGTGAGGGAGGTGAGCATTGCTGGAGAAATATATACAATGTGTAGCCGTAGGGAGCCTACAAATAAGCAATCTCTCTCTCTCTCTCTCTCTCTCTCTCTCCTTCTTTCTCCGTCCTTCCTTCCTTCCTTCCTTCCTTCCTTCCTTCCTTCTTTCCTTCCTCTCATTGGATAGCCTTAATGCTAATTTTACCCTTCCACAAAAATGTTATTCTTTTATTGATCAAATTCTGAGCTAATTTAAAATGGAATTAAATAATAGTTTTCAGAACTTACCTACATTTTCCTATGTATATTATACATTGTTCAAGATAATTTATGAATGTCAACCTCAATGGACAGCTTACATTCTCCTAGTTCCTTCAAATGTGTCCTACTATAAAAGATTTTCTTTGTAACCTCTAAGGAGCATACAGACATTTAGTCAAAAGTACTACTCTTTAATTCTGAATGTCCACAGAAATGTGATATTTAGGATTCTGTTTACTTTTCTATCTTGAAATTAAAAATAAAATGTATGTCCTTCTTGGTTCTTTACCATAACTGAATTAACTAATAAATAGGTATTTTTCTGAATATTTTATTCAGACTGCAGTACTTGGAATTTCCATGAGTTTCAAGAACAGCTGTGACTTACCTGCTGCAAGCAATCACTAGCGAGTCCTTTGTTAGGGACTCCAGTTTTCAAGGAACTAAGTGTGACTTTGACATTTTTAAAAGAATCTTGGGTTGAGTCTTATAACAGAGTTCTTGACAATACAAAGTTTTCTAGTAAAAAAAAAAAATCAAATATTTCTGAAAAAAGAACCTAGTAGAATTCCTAAGGCATAACTTGAAAGGAATGGCAAATCATGTAACCTTGCCACCAATTAACCTTGACCTTAAGGCCAAACGTCAGGGCTATCCCTATAGCTAAGTCCTCCAGGTGTGGTGCTAGGATGAAAAGGTGACAATTTGGAGGACAATTTACAAGCCAGACATTATCATCAGAAATGTTGATTCTGTGTCATCCTAAGAATTTATGGAAGCCGGAAGGAAAGCAAATATGTTGTGCTAATTCAAGCAGTTACAGCTTCCTTTCCTGTTACTCTGTACAGGAAAACTCCTACAGAAGTTGTAAATCTCACCTTTCTGCAAAACTAATGAGATGATGTCACTATGTGGGGCAATGACCTCGGGGCCCTATGAACAGCAGGCAGCATTAAAAGGGGCTTCCAAAATTTTACCTGGAAACAGAAGAACTAATCAGAAAACTAGAACCAACCTCATGTCAATGGGTCATTCTTTTTCAATGGAGGTACTACCTGAACCCACAATTGTAGAAAGGAAAGTTGATTGATTTTCACACTACTAGTTTAATAGTTGTGGTAATAGATTTAGCTCTAGTCAGGAACAGTTCTTGTGTCTTCGCCATTATTTTTCATGGATTCATTTATTCAATAAGTAGTTATTGACCATCTAGACACTGAACTAGTCTCTAGGGAAACAAAAAAAGAGTAATGTACACTCCCAGGGTGTTCATCAGTTGTTAAATAAAGGTGCCATAAAAGCAAATAAAACCGGGACAAGTTCTGTGAGAGAGAAATGCTGGCCTCATGACCAAGTAGCAGGATTTGCAAAGTGCCTAACTGGCGTTCAGAGTTTCAGCTGTGTCCCTGAACCAAACTGATGCTGAAGGCCCCCAAAATGATTAAACTGAAGACCATGACCTCGTGTCTACAATACTCAACTAACCATAGACAAAACAAGGTAGGTGGTGAAAGAAAAGCCTTCAGACACACACCCCTCTGGCCTGGGCCTTGCTTTTTAAGGTTGCCATCCCTGTGATTGAACTTCATTGTTAAAGCCACTCGACTAGGTGTAAGCTTTTTATTTTACATTAAAATGGAACCCCTGGGCTTTCTGGCACATATTCTTAATTAATTAATTTCTTCTTTCATTAAACAATAGAACATAGATGGGAACTTCAGGATAAGTGTAGGATGAGGCTTCTGGATCAATTATAAATTATCAACTTGGGATGCCTAGTTATTGCCCCATTCCCCCAACCCCCACCAACATCCACAATCTCCTATGACACCTGTGTCCCTGCCAGACTCAGGCTCATCCCTAACAAAAGTCTGATTTCTAAGGAAAATCACTACAATATTTTCATGTAGATAAAAGCAGGTAAAAATCAACTTTAGGGGCAATGTTGAAGGGTAAAAATTGATATAGGTGGATTGGAGTGGGTTATAAAGCATATTATCTGCTATTGTCTTGATGAGGATAACTGAGATCTTAGTACACAGAAGGACCTTTACACATATTGTATGAATGAACATGACAAATGATAGCATAGATTAGATTAAGGTAAAAGGTATGCCCTTTTTGATTACTAATGTTTTATCTGAAACTATAAGAAGTTGACTATAAGAGTGCTTTGTATGCATTAATTCATTTGATATTGTTTATTTTATACATATAATGAAACAGAGTTTGAAAAGAAGTAAAAAACTTTCCACAGGTTTTCCTTAAGGCAACACAGTTAGTTGCTGCCTGGGTCAGAATTCAAACTCAAGTCTCAATTGATATATGTATATATTATATCATGGTAATACCTCACCACTTATATGGCCCTTATGTTCAAGCACTCTTTTTTGCCTGATATTAACTCGTGATTATTGAAAACCTAAGTGTCCTTTGAAAGGCCTGGATAAAGATGTGGTACAATAGAATATTACTCAGCCATAAAAAAGAATAAAATCTTACCATTCACAACCACATGGATGGACCTACACTGTATTATGTTGAGTGAAATAAGTCAGATAGAGAACTACAAATATAATATGATTTCACTTATAAATGGAATTTACCAAGCAAAATAAGTAAATAAACAAAACAGAAGCAAATTTATAAATACAGAGAACAAACTGATGATTACCAGATGGGAGGAGTGTTGGAACGATGAATGACAAAGGTGAAGAAGATTAAGAATTATAAATTGCCAATTATAATAATAGTCATAGGGCTATAAAGCAAAGCATAGGAAATATAGTTAATAATAATGTAATAATTATGTATGGTTTCAGACAGATACTAAACTTATAGTGTAATGACTTTGTAAGGTGTATAAATGTCTAATCACTATGTTGTATACCTGAAAGAAATATAATATTATATGTCAGGATAATTAAAAAATAAATTTATGAAATAAAAAGAATGTATGAGGAAATGGATATTACTGTATGAGGAGGAAAGAAGAAATCATTCTCAATAATGATGGCAAATAACCAGTTCTCCCCTAAATAGCTCATCAGGAGTGAAACACCTCCACTTCCTCATGGTAATCTCCTTGGGGGTAATACTGCCTATTCCACATCACCCACATCTCTGTAGAAAGTATTCAACAAAGACTACTAGTGAAGGCCATGCTATTTAGATTGTTGTTCTCAAATGTCTTTAGTTCTTAGTGGAAATCTTAAGAAATCCAAGGTCTTCTGGAAACATAGCAAATATAATAGTACTAGAGGTCCGGTACATGAAATTCATGCATGGGAGGGGGGTCCCTCACCCCGGCCTGCACTCTCTCCAACCTGGGACCCCTCGGGGGATGTCCGACTGCCAGTTTAGGATGCGGGATCAGGCCTAAGCCGGCAGTCAGACATCCCTCTCACAATCCAGGACCACTGGCTCCTAACTGCTCACCTGCCTGCCTGCCTGATCACCCCCAACCACTCTGCCTACCTGCCTAGTGCTCCTAACTGATGCCCCGCCTGCCTGATCACCACTAACTGCCTCTGCCTGCCTGCCTGATTACCCCTAACTACCCCACCCCCGCCCGCCTGCCTGATCGCCCCTAATTGCCCTCCCCTGCTGGCCTGGTCACCCCTAACCACCTCTGCCTCAGCCCTCATCGCCGTGGCTTTGTCTGGAAGGACGTCTGGATGGATGTCTGGAAGACATCCAATCTAATTAGCATATTACCCTTTTATTAGTATAGATTAGAGACACAATAGTAATTTGGATTCACCTCTTACACACCTTTTCTGGATTAGTCATGACCTGACCCTGGCCTTTGAGTTTTACTGAGGTATTTACGTGTTCCATAGAATAGTCCATAATTTCTTCTCTTTACTGCACAGGAGTTAGTGGTTGATGATAGAAGCCCAAATCAAAGGTGATATTTAAAATGGTCATCAATTATCCTATATAATAAAAGAGTAATATGCAAACTGACCCTAACAGCAGAAAGACTGGGAATGACTGGTCACTATGACACACACTGACCACCAGGGGGCAGAGGCTCAATCCAGGAGCTGCCCTCTGGTGGTCAGTAAGCTCCCACAGAGGGAGCTCTGCTCAGTCACAAGCCAGGCTGGCGGCTACCAGGACAGTGGTGGGGGGGGGAGCCTCTCACGCCTCCTCAGCAGCGCTAAGGATATCCGACTGCAGCTTAGGCCTGCTCCCTGCTGGCAAGTGGACATCCCCTGAGGGCTCCTGGGCTGCCAGAGGGATGTCTGATTGCCAGCTTAGGCCCAATCCCCCCAAGGAGTGGGCCTAAGCCAGCTGGTGCTCATCCCCCAGGGGTCCCAGACTGCAAGAGGGCACAGGCCGGGCTGAGGGACCCTCCCCCCCAGTGCACAAATTTTTGTGCACTGGGTCTCTAGTCTATATATATAAAAGGCTAATATGCTAAGTGTCCATCTGACCAGTAGCTATGACACACACTGACCACTAGGGGGCAGACACTCAATGCAGGAGCTGCAGAGCTACAATGACTTGGCAGTGGCGGTTCTGCAGTGATGCACCCCAAAACCAGAGAGGAGGGAAGTGGGCCTAAGCCAGCTGGTGCTCATCCCCCAGGGGTCCCAGACTGCAAGAGGGCACAGGCCGGGCTGAGGGACCCTCCCCCCCAGTGCACAAATTTTTGTGCACTGGGTCTCTAGTCTATATATATAAAAGGCTAATATGCTAAGTGTCCATCTG